TTCAGCTGAAAATAATGGTTAATTTCTATTTTCACTTCACTTTCATTATCAGTATAGTTAGGTATTGTAAAAGGTCAACAATTCAGTTCTCTATTTGACTCCCAAACAATATATTTTCTGTCATTCCAAAATGACCTGTCATTTCAGTCCAACTTGAAATTATTTTTCTACTGAAAACATTGGGGACCAAACATAAAATTGAAAACATAGACTATCAGTAGAGTTTTATGGTTGGGTTTCTATACTGTACTGTGCCTTCTCTCCCATCAGACCATGAGCTGAGCAGAAATAATGAGGAAAGTCCTTAGGGCAACCCTGGGAGCTAAATGTAGATGTACCAAGAGAGTTTCAGAAGGCAGAGGAGATGAGAGATCAGGAGTGACTATCAAACACCAGTAAGGGATGCAGCTGTATGAGACTTGACCATGTGTCAAGGTTTGCCCATGGGCAGTGGAGGAGTTTAGGTACATCATAATTGCTCTGCGCAGAAAGTGATGGGAGAGGGGATGATGGGGATGATGTGTATTAATAGGTTTAAAAAGGTTTTAGTGGAAAAAAACCACATGCTTGTGAAATACAAATGTAACATCAACACAGCGATACTGATCTTGATGGCCTTCTGGGCCTCTTTCCATCTGCTGCATTTCTGCCTCCTAAATAGGTTTCCCAAGAGCACAATAAAAAAAACAACAACCCTTTCTCCTTCTCCAAAACTAGCCCTGCCATGGCTAAGTGAAAGCCTTGCTCTTTGTATCAGGATTCTTTCCTAATACTAATTCTTTCATAGTGTACTATGAAACAAGAAGAATATTGTTTCTTCTCTGGGGGGCCTCCTTGCTTGCATTGTCTAAATGCTTCCCCCCAGATAACCTCTCGACTGCTGGTTAGTAACAGTTTTATTAATAGGACTTACTTCAGACTTAGTTATGTCTGACTTATCATGCAGAGTTATGTGCTTGATTGAGATACTATGGGTTTATAAAAAAATTCCCTGAGATATGAAGCTGTGAATGACGTTAACAGCACCAAGGGGTGCGTGCATCCCTCCTGGTGTCTCTGGGACAAAACCAGCTTAATGCCATTGTTTAGGCAAAGAGGACAGTAGCATTAGGGCTACAGCTGATGCCACCAGTCACCAAAAGCCAAGATTGCTAAAACAGCAGGAGAAACACTTCCCATTTGTTATGGAAAGATTTTAATTCAGACGTCTGGTGTCTTCAAAGAACATACAGCACAGTCCACACATCAGGGCAGGAGACAAGTGGAAAGAGATTAGCTGTCTGTAGCTCTGGCTCTCATATGGATTTGTACCAAATACCACCACTGTGACCCTTGGTGCCGTGGATGCTTGGCACTCATAGGAACGTCCTTGCTTTAAAACCTCAGTTGCCAACAGAAAACATGCCAGGGGAAACTCAATTCTTCTGAAGTGCCAGTATATTTAAAACAAGCAAACAAGCAAACAAACAAAACCCCAAGGGAAATCATGCTAGTCTACTTCCAAGGAACTGGAGAGCGTAAAGCCATATCGGGGAAAGCAAGTTCACTTTAAGCCTGTGAGTAGGTTTTGCAGCCTCCAGCGTTGGGCAATGACCAAGATCAGGGAAGTGTGGGGTGATGCTGGTGTGCAGCGGTGGAAGTGCTTGGGGACAGGAGTGGGCCTGGGCATCAGAGATACCACTGGGGGCTTTCACTCCCTTGGATGCCCGTTGCATTAGAGCGGCAGACGCAGAGCTGCCTCAGAGCATGGATATGGGTCACTGTTTGTGGCTGCAATGCATTGGGACTCATTTGCCCACTGCTTGGCTTAGCCTGACCCTATTTTTACAGCCTGTCCTCTGGATCCTTCCTGCCTGGGGTTCTCTGGGGCAGTCCTCATGGACAGGCCCACCCTTGCTCTTGGTACACGGAGATGGTTTTGGTTTTGTGTGCTCCACACCGTTCTGAGGGAGAGGGGAGGGAAAAAAAAACCCCAGCCATCTTCAGTCTAAACATAGCCCAGAGTTCGTTCCATCCATCTTCAGTGATACCTTGTGGCCGGGTAAATGATGACTCGTCCTTCCTTACAACTCCGTGGTGGTATGTGCTGAGAGGGGAGAAAATAGCAGCAGCCACCACCCACGCATCTCTGCAGCTTTCCTGAGAGAAAGACGTGCCTGGGTCTGGTCAAACCATCTGCCACTGCCTTGCCAGCTGTCATGCATGGTCCTCCAGCTCTGGGTGGTGTTTTTATAGGGGCCATGATTAGAGGTGAGGCACACTCAGCCCTTGATCCAGCTGTGGGAATTTGCAGTCATCCTTTTTTGCTCTGGCACAGTTTCTCCTGATCTGCAGCCTGCCAAAGGGCTAGCTCATGCTTTCTGCGTGGGACTCATCAGATCAGAAAAGGACATCTACATCTGTGCTAGTTACCCACACTCTTTTTATCGTCATTGTAGAACTGATTGAGCCACTCAGTGAAAAGGAGAGCATAACTCATCCTCTCCCCAAGTACAGACCTAAAACAAGTCAAAGCACACCCTAGAAGTGCTCATTCCCTTCTACTGGTATAAAGCAAATGTGGGGTCACTGACACATCTGGATGTCTACATCTAAGTGCAGCTGAGATGAATTCTTCCCCAAAAGCAATCCATCATAGTGATTTAAACACAAGTTGCCAGCAGCTCTGGCCTTATTTCACCCACACTGGCTATTGATGCCTGAATAAACTCAGTATGCAATTAGCTTCAGTCAAATTCTCAAAGCTTGATATAATTAGACACACTGGGCATAAAGCTGCTGCTGACAATACACCTGTATGAATGTGTTCCCTGATGGGTATTTATTTCTAATTAAACTAAGGTATGTGGATTTGGGATAGGACCCAATCTAGATGATTATAATCTTCATGACAAAGATGTGTTTGGACCCCTCCATTTGTTAGGAAAGGGAAGAGCATTGCTATTCTTTTGGGGGGTCCTTTCTTGCATTCTTTAAATGCTTCCTTCCAGACAGCCTCCTGGCTGCAACTTAGGTAACTATTTTATTAATTGGATTTTATTCAAGGTAAATCATGACTGAAAATTGCAAACAAAGTGGTAATGCCCTGAATGAGCTAGTTCAGATAAGGATTGAACAGGGCAGACACAAAAATAGTGGCCTGATTTTCAACAACTGCAGGATTAGCATTGAGTCCTGCCTTCCAAGTCCAGCAGCTGTTTTCTGGTTCTTCCTTCTCCTAAGCCAAAAGATGCTCAGAAGCACTATGGTAGGGAGAGATAGGCAGGGCACTGGTAGGAAATATGAGTTTTGGGCTGTCTGTATCTGCCCTGTAGACAGGGCAGACCCTCATTGTGTCCTCTGAATGTTAGAGCTCCTTGTGCCGCTCAGGGTATCTGGAGACAGAAAAGCATCTGGGAGCTGTCCTCTGAGCCCTGGGTGGAATAAGGAGGTTGATGTTGTCATGCTCTGCCATGTCGCAGCCATTCTGGCTGGAGAGCTGGGGAGTTACCAGAGCTCCACCCTTTAATACTACAAAAATCCCAAGTAGATGATGAAGGGATGTGTCACTTTGAATTTCACCTCGAAACAAGCAAACAGGGAGTTTGCGTTTGAGGTTCTCACTATGCCTTTGTTCCACTCGGCTGCTTTGCTACCAAGGAACAAAATACGATGCTCAGCAGCGAGAGGTGGTCAGCTTCAAAAGGAAAATATGACCCAAAATGTATGGGGCTGTACATGTGTTGGGGAGGGGGGAAGGGTCATATATGTCCACAGAGGAATGCTTCCAAGGGTGTGTATTCATGTACTGTTAGGTCTGTCCCGAGCGTATGCTTTGCATGTCTGCATTTGTATGTTTATGCATATAAAAATATGGTTTCTCTTTATTTATGTATTCACCATAAGGGCAATCTGCCAGTCTTCCTGCGCTGCAGGAATGTCCCCATCAGCAGAGACACCCACCCTGTTGGTTTTCCCTGAGAGGCAGGTGTAAATTCAGGTGTAAATTCACATTGCTGACCTGTGCCTGTTCATTCAGAAGCTTGGACCTCGTGTTCTGACAATGTGTTTTCTTCTTTCACATTTGAGCTCAGCAGCAGCCTGTTGGCATCTTGGAGCATTTTTGAAGTCCAGAGCTGCAAGAGGGCGGTGCCATGTAAAAATAGGGAGCGGGACAACCCTAAAACTTAGGAAACAGGAGGAAATATGAAGTGATGAGAAAACAAGAGACAGATGGCAGAGTCAGAGCAAGGTCCAGTGAGTTGTCCAATATAGTCCAATATAGTCGAGCAGTGATTATTAGAGGATGTTTTAGGAAAAGGTACAAGAACAGAGAAAAACCGCCCTGAAACACTCCCCTAAACATCGAGCAGAGACTTCCTAAGCTAAGTATTTCTGTACATTTGGTAACGTACAGAAATGGATTTCTTTTCCAGGAAGTGGTCCTGTGACCCCTTACACACGTGTAACTGTGAACATCCACAGTATCCCGTGACCAGCTTTCCACAATTCAGCTGTAAGAGCAAAGGATCAGTTCCTTCACTTTCCTTTGAGCTTGATTCATGCCAGCTTCACTTGATACCCCCTAGTTCTTCTGCTGGGAAAGACTATGGATAGTAGATCCCCATCTGTCTACAGATAAAACTCTTTCAGCGAAGCAGCCTGGGATTTACCATAGTGCTGCCATAATCATCTCTGGAGGGGGCATCAGCAGTGGGGAGTCATTTGGGGTAGGGGAAAGAGACTACAGCAGGAGGAACACCGGAGCAGCAGAACGGACAAAGGGCATCTGCAGCCTTGTGGTGAGGGCAGAGGTCCTAAAGGTGGGGCTACTGAATAGGGAAGGTGGAGGAGGAAAGAACAAGAATCTACAGGCTCTATAAACTCTTGGAGTTATGAGTCAGTCTCTTTCATGGACCTCAGAAACACCTACAACCATAAGACAAAGACTAAACCAGTATTTTTCTTATTTGCCTCAGTTTTCTGTTTTTTATCTGGCTGTTATTCTTTGTCTCTTTCAGGTTGAATTCACCCCTGATCAGATTGAAGGTGAGGAAGATGCGTTTCTCTTCTGTGCACAGTAAATACTGTCACTGGGAGGTGCTGGCACATGCTGGGGTGAACACGGGTGTGGTATTGGAGCTGCCTTGAGAAGGCTGTGCTTCAATTCGTGGCTTTGCTCCTGCTCCGTCCCTCCTCTAAATCCTCTGTTGAGTTGGTCAAGAGGAAAAGGGGAAAGTCATGCACCATGGAGAGTAAGCACTTATTTCATTAAAGAAAACATCAGCTCTCCACTGCCAATGAGGCAAAACCAAAAGAGATAAAAAACCCCACAGCCCCAAAACCTCAGTCCAAGTATATGCTCTTTCTTTAAGAAAACCCACTAGCAAAATATCAATCCTTCCAAGAGAAAGTCTCCCAACCCTGCTTTTGAGAACTTTTCCCTGTATTCAGTCAGAATTTAATGTGTTACAGTTTTGTGACAACTCTCCAGAAACCAGCAAATAATGATAGCGATCGTGTTTGTTTTCTTTCAAACCAAAACTTCAGCATTCGTTTCTGAAACCTTTGTCCCAGCCCAAGAAACTGATACTAAAACCTCATGCATGAAGTCCTGGGACCACTACCGCTGTAGCTGTCCCCTTTTTCCTCAACTACCAGCCTGCTTTTTACTTAAAGGATAATTGATAGATGGAGTCAAACATCTGGCAGCATTTTGCTTTGGTCTTTAAACACTTGGCAGAACTTGGTAGAGCCTATGAAAGATGGTATCAGAAAATGTGTTAATTAGAGCAGATTAAAAAAAAAAAATAAAAATCACAGGCTATCCAGTCAGGCTGATTCAGAGAGGAGAGATACAGAAGGAAGGATTTTCTGAACTGGAACCAAATGCCATAATATCTTAGAGACTGAGCCTTTGCCACAGACTTCCAACATTACCTTGGGATTGTCAAGCCCCCCCTTAATGGCTTTAGTTTCTATTTTCTAACAACAGATCAAAAGTAACTCACGATTGCAGGCAACTGTCAATTTCTGGAAACCTGCCCCTCTTCTAGTCCCAAAGTCATGGGAGAACCGTAGGAGAGGCACAATCCTGAGCCACAAACTTTTGAACTATTCCAGCAGCACACAACAGCTGGATCTCTCATCAGCTGATGTTTTGGGGATTGGATAGGACCCACCCAGTTTCTATGCCTTGTTTTGTCTCTCCCCGAGGAGAACTAGCTCTAGAGGCTATAGCAGAGAATGGGAAGAGACCTATTCCGAAAAAAACGGGATGCTTGTCTGGCCATCAGCCCATTGGAATGGCTAGGAAATGACAAATTCGGAGCAACCCCAGGGCTGCCATAAAAGGCAGCAGGTCTAGAGCAGATGTGCATCATCTCTAGAAACAGCAAGTTGCATCTTCTTTCTTTTCTTCTTACAGTTGCCTTCTGTCTAGCTGTACTCACTGCATACACAGAGAAAAGCTGCGAATCCAGGACTTGTGAAATAGGATGTCCTTGAAATATCAAAGGGAAAGCCATGGGGCAGGAAGCAGATAAGATCATCTGTGTGAGGAAGGCTGTGAGACCTCCATGTCAGCTACAGCAGCATAACAGAGTTATACTGTGTGCTAGCACTGGGGAGAAACACTAAATCCACTCAAGGTTAATTCCACAGTTGGTTCATAGGTTCTGCCATGAGTTGCTGGAAGGAGTGCCTAATGGCCTGAACATCACCAGGGGACTGAGCAGAAAAACTCTGCTCATCAGCCAGCTCCTCAGTTCCTTTCCTCCTACCTTTTCTGGTTTTTTTGGGTTTTTTTTTCCCCCCTTTCCTTCCCCGGACCTTTAGAAGGTTCTCATGTTCATAGATGAGTAGGCAGACAGATTGATAGTTGCTAGATAGATATTTACTCCTAGGTAGAGCTTACATGCTTCAGGTGTAGAATTATATCTACAGCGTGGTCCACAGTTGTCCCTGGATTGTTGCTGGCATGTGCTGTCCTCTGTACTAGTTTGCGCATGTCAAAAGCTTGCCAAGAACTGTGTGCTACCAGTTCAAGAAATCAATCTTGGATTGATTTGAAATCAAACTGGACAATCAGTTTTCCAGTGCTTGAGACTGTTTTATTTTGTGTTAAAAGCGCAGGTTAGAAAGCAAGCACCACTTGCCTTGATTTATAGCTGTTATACCGGCTGTTGGCATGACTTAAGAGTTGGGACTTACAGGAGCTCTAAGTTAATATGTCTTTTTGATTTGTTTTCTCTTTCCTGTTCTCTCCTCACTCTCGCAAGCTTCCAAGATTGCCAGCTCGCCCTTTCTTCTGGGTTTCAGTTGCATTTGTTTTGTTCTGAGTTCATTTTCAGCTCTGCGTTGCACTGTTAATTTTGTCAAATTTCCTCTTTCAGGAAGTCATCAGGAGGTCAAGGTCACCTGTCATACCTTTATATGTGTTTTTTAAAGAATAGACCTTTAATGCATAATAATCACCTCTCTTTCTCTCTCTCTGTTGACCAGATGAGGACCTAGGTGTCTCGGTGAGACTAGATGGTTCCTCTTTTGTCAGCTGAAACTAGATCAATAGGAAGTCCATCCTATGTGTTAGATATTACTGGCTGTCAGTCTATCACCATTGACCCAACTGGTTTTCTGGCAGCTGATTCTGAATTGAGGTGGTGGAGGAGAAATGGACAATGCAGCACCTCAAGGCCTTTTCCAGCCCTATCTTCTAGGATACTCTGAACCTCTTCCTCTTGCTAAGGAAAAGACTTTGTTGCATCAGACTTACTTCCCTCCAAGGAGTCATTATTACGTTAGCCCCCAAAATATTGCTCTCAGAAGGAGAAGAATGGTCTGTGGGTGAAGCCATGTGTAACACAGCCATCTTTACGTGTCCTCCTGCCTCAACTGCGAGTGAAGTTCATTGGTCGTGGCAATGTGTATTTATGAAACTGGATTTCTGGCCTCTTCAGCCCCCTAAATTGCTGAAAGGAGAAGAATATGAGCTATTCAAGATTAGAATTAGGTAGCAATTAGGCATATGAAAATATACTCTGCTCCTGCCGGTGGTTTAATGGCTAGCAGGAGGACAAAGGAGACCATAGCCATGCTGGTTTCATTGCTTTGATGGAAATTTGCATTAAGCCAGCAAATGCAAATGCAAATGAAACAAACAAACAAAAAAGGCTGCTTCTGTGTATTGACAAAATGGGGTTTCCAAACCCACAGGCCAATGCTCTGGTAAGAGGCAGTAACATCTGATTTTAAATTTAAAGAAAGAGAAAAAAAAAAAGAGAGAGAAATGTGAGCTGTCAGTAATTATGATGAACCGTGAACCTTTAGGAGGTGGTGCGAAGGATGCTCAGGCAATTGGTCTCAGGGAGTAGGTAAGTGGCAGGCAGATGAGTAGCTCAGGGAGGTAGGTGTATTTTTCATCCACCTCAGCTGCTGAGACCCCCGGGAAAGGACAGAGCTGGGAGTGGGTCTCTGGCCCCCTTCCACTGTCGGCAAGGAGCCCATGAAAATCCACTATTGCCCTCTGCTGGAGTCAGGGCTGCCAATGGGACCTGGGCTCCGGCCGGTGACAGAAAAGACAAAGATCCAGGAGAGAGAGGCAGGGAGAGAAAGAAAGAGAGAGCAAAGAGGAGAATGCAAAGAAGAAAACAAAGGGAGTGTTAATTAGTCCAAAATGAGAAAACACATCATTGTTTGAAAGTGTTGGATAAGAAAGGAAATGAGTAAGGTATGAGTGGAATGATAAAAATGAAAAGGGAGGGAGAAAGGAGGAGAGGCAAACCGAGCAACACTGGAAGAAGGAAGGAGAGAGGGAAGTAAGCAAAGAAGAAGAAAGAAAAAAGAGGGAGGGCGAATAATGAGGAGGAGAAGGAATTGAGAAGGGAAAGATGGAGAAAATCTGGCATGCAGGGTGCATGGCTGAACGGTTGAATGAGTCAGGATCTAGGGAAAAAGAAATAGCCTTACTGTGTTTGGAGAGTAGGAAGGAAGCATATAGAGACGAGTAACAGCAGGGCAGGGAGCAGATTCAGGGAGTCACAGCTTTAAAGCCAAAGGGATATCTGTGATCACTTGTAGACCTTGCACTATGCAGTGTGTTCATTAAAGGATAACAGCTATTAATAACGACTATTAATGTTGCTTGTGCCTTGAGATGCTCCTCTGTCTCTGCAATGTGTCTGCGACCCCAATAGAGAGAGGCAAACCTGAGTAACTAGTGTGTCTGGGGAAGTCTCCCCTGGGATCCTGCACTGACCCCATTAATTAATGGTAGGACAGGGACCCTCTCCCATGGGAATGCTCATGTCAAGGTATGGCTGCTCGAAGGGACTCCCTTTTCAGCCAGAAGTAAAGAGAAGACATGAGGATATGTTCACAAGGATGTAGTGGAGGGGAGCTGGCTGTCTTGCAAGGAAAAGGGCTCTGCATGGGCACACAGGGGAAAGCAGGCAGATGTGAAACCACCGGAGGGAATGATTGCATCTCCACACCCGAGGTCTGGCCTGGCATCGGTAGCTGATGGCATATCAAACCTGACCTCTCCAGATGCAATTGGATTGGGTACTAGAAAAAAGAAAAATCAAAGGATTCTTCCAGATTTGCTCCTTGACATTGTTAAATACAACAATTCATCAATTATAAGGTTTTCTACACATGGTCACCCTCCCCCACCAATAGACTGCTTCTTGTGTGATTATTCCAGTTGGTTATCACGGCATATCTTGTTACCTCCTAATAGAGGTGCTCCTTTATCTCAGTGGGCTGTGTCAGTGCTCTCTAAGTGTATAATGCCGAATACAATATTCAGTTAGCTAATGAGCAGAACTGCTATTGAATCTGTGCCATCCTGAGCGCTCCTGATGAGCTGGAGAGCTCTCAAGGCCAACCATTTCTATAAGGTATTCTGCACTTCCCGATGTTAGCTGAGACGGAAATACCATGCTAAGAGCATTTGACCTCTCCGATTCTATTCCCTGATTGAACCGGAAAATGCAGGGGAGGAGGAACACAAACATTGCAGATAACAGCAACAACAAAACTCATCAAGCTTGTTCCCAAACTGCAAAATAAAAGGGTCAGGCAGAGTTAGGGGGAAGGTCTAGGCTTGCTTTGACTTTATCTGAGGGAGCATGGCACGCATTTCTTTTTATCTTTTTGTTTTCCCAGAATTTAAAGAAGCGTTCTCACTCTTCGACCGGACTCCCAAATCTGAGATGAAAATCACATACGCACAATGTGGAGATGTCTTGAGAGCTTTGGGGCAGAATCCAACCCAGGCTGAGGTCATGAAAGTGCTTGGCAGACCCAAACCGGAAGGTTGGTGTCCTCCTCTGTGTTTGTTTTGAAAAAGATCACTCCAAGAATCATTCGTGAAGCAGATGAGATCTCCATTTTCTGATGGAAAGATTAATTGTGAAATAACAAAGCCTATGGAATAGCCTTTGCAAATTGCTAGCAGAAAAGTAAATGAGGAAAAAAATGATCTTGCAGTCATTATAATTGTCTCAAATTTAGGAGAACAAATACATTTAATGGCCCTGTGCATCAATGTGTTTTACAATAACAAGTTTTTGCCTTTTAAAATTGCTTTAATGACAGGCATTCACTTGTGTTTACTAAAAATGCAGACAATGTGCAGACATCCAAAGAAACAAAGGGGTAGACTGAATGTGAGTAGATAGCTTGTTCTACAAAAATATATATTAGAGGGTCTGTAATGATTGTAGTAATATCTCCCTTCAACATTCACCATACTCTGGATATCTCTTCAGAACAAAGGAAATCTTTCCCAGACCATATGTACATTCAGACATTTTCTAAATTATTTCTCTGTCCTTTCCTTCCACTGAGGTGGAACTGACAATTAGGTCCTCATTCAACAACTATGATATGTCAGGATAGGGCAATGACACAGTGGCAGGTGGGACAAGGAGTCATATGGGAACAAAATGCCCTCTGATGCTCTTGAAAGGCAAAAAATCAGGAAAAAGGGATACACAGCCCTGGTCCTGCCTATTTGCTTTGAAGTTCCTCTCCCAGTATGATTTTAAACAGCTCTGCGTTACAGGGCTGCAAAGCAAAGGTGATTTCATATTGGCAATGAATGCTGTCTTCTTACTGTCTTCTGCTTAGTTTCATGCTTTAATGTTGCATGAAACAGTCTTGGAAGTCTAACAGTATTTTCTTTCCTTGATGTTTGCATATGTCAGATACTAGGACATATCTATTTATCTATCAATCTATCTATCTATCTATCTATCTATCTGTCTGTCTGTCTATCTATCTATCTATCTATCTGTCTGTCTGTCTATCTATCTATCTATCTATCTGTCTGTCTGTCTATCTATCTATCTATCTATCTGTCTGTCTGTCTATCTATCTATCTATCTATCTGTCTGTCTGTCTATCTATCTATCTATCTATCTATCTATCTATCTATCTATCTATCTGTCTGTCTGTCTATCTATCTATCTATCTATCTATCTGTCTGTCTGTCTATCTATCTATCTATCTATCTATCTATCTGTCTGTCTGTCTATCTATCTATCTATCTATCTGTCTGTCTGTCTATCTATCTATCTATCTATCTGTCTGTCTGTCTATCTATCTATCTATCTATCTGTCTGTCTGTCTATCTATCTATCTATCTATCTGTCTGTCTGTCTATCTATCTATCTATCTATCTGTCTGTCTGTCTATCTATCTATCTATCTATCTGTCTGTCTGTCTATCTATCTATCTATCTATCTATCTGTCTGTCTGTCTATCTATCTATCTATCTATCTATCTGTCTGTCTGTCTATCTATCTATCTATCTATCTGTCTGTCTGTCTATCTATCTATCTATCTATCTATCTATCTGTCTGTCTGTCTATCTATCTATCTATCTATCTGTCTGTCTGTCTATCTATCTATCTATCTATCTGTCTGTCTGTCTATCTATCTATCTATCTATCTATCCATCCATCCATCTATCTATATACCAAAACCTCATGTTTCTCACTTTGCCAGGCCTCTTTCCCACTCTATCCATTCTTCCACCTGTACTTATGATATTTCCATGCTCTTTCCTTCCCTTTACCTGGTGTTTATTGCCACAGTTCTTCTACCCTCACCACCTACCCATGGCGGATGCCCCATGATTAGTCCTCAACTCTCCCAGAATCCACCAAAACTTTCATTTCCACCTGTGTCTTTGTAGAAATGAACTCCAAGATGATCGACTTTGAGACCTTCCTGCCCATGCTCCAGCATATTGCCAAGACGAAAGACACAGGCACCTACGAGGACTTTGTGGAGGGTCTGCGCGTGTTCGACAAGGAGGGAAATGGAACGGTGATGGGGGCTGAACTCCGCCATGTTTTGGCTACGCTGGGTAAGGTGAACCTTTCCTCAGGCAGTTTCATCACTGAGGTCTTTCCCATACAGCTTGTATCATTCTGGGTAACCTTTATGGCGACAATGACTGAGCAAGACTTCCGCCTCATTGTCCTCAGCAGTAAAGACCAAAAAAAGTTCTTTAATAATGAAACTAAAAATCACTGACCTACAGCTCAAATATTTGTCCGTCCTTCCTTCCTTCCTTCCTTCCTTCCTTCCTTCCTTCCTTCCTTCCTTCCTTCCTTCCTTCCTTCCTTCCTTCCTTCCTTCCTTCCTTCCTTCCTTCCTTCCTTCCTTCCTTCCTTCCTTCCTTCCTTCCTTCCTTCCTTCCTTCCTTCCTTCCTTCCTTCCTTCCTTCCTTCCTTCCTTCCTTCCTTCCTTCCTTCCTTCCTTCCTTCCTTCCTCTAGTGTTTTATTTCTCCAATATATATTATATTTCTATCACCATAAAATTACCCAAACATTGGAACCCCCACCTATTCCTTCAATATTTGTCTCCATTTTCTGTACCTTCAAGAAAAGTTTTAAGATGAAGTGCTTTTTTATCAGTCATTTGTTTAACAGAAGTGTCTCTGAAATGGAAAGCTTCTGTTTTTAAAATAAGGATCAATATTTCTCCGTCCTCTCAAATTTTCACTTCAGAAGCTGTTTTTCACAGAGGGTGATGACAACAGAATGAGTGCAGGACAGAAAATATGGCGGTAACTTAATGACAGGTTTCCAATTTGGATTAGAAAGCACTGACATGTTGTCATCTGAATCCAGTAAGCATTTCTCAAGATCTAGTGTTTGTCCACTATTTTAAAAAAGGATGAGCCTTTACAAAAGAGATCTGATTTAGACCAAAGGATTCCAATGATGGGTTTTGACCTGGGATATCAATTCAAAAAGCCAAACCGTTTATGCCCAGGGGTTTTCATTCAATGACACATCCATGTCTATTAATGACACAGGGAATAAGAAAAGAAAGCAATGCTATTTTCCTTTTTATCACTGATGCTATCGGATGGGTTTGGGGACCAAATTCAGTCATGACAAAAAAACCCTCACACGGTCAGGATTGTTGCCCTATCTAACCTTACCTGGGACAAAGAAAACACTCTGTGCAGTTTTGTGAGTTTCACAGTCCTACAAGAAATACTTTTGTACTTACCTTTCCATTTCCAGTAACCCAGAACAATGTGGCAACATCTGATTTTGAAGTACCGATAGGAAGTATTTCAATCTTAAGAATTAACAGTTCTGTTTAGAGTGGCATCTCTAAATACTGGTCAAATCCTAAGCACAGCCAAAGATTCTGTAAATTAGCATGCTTTTCTGTTCAGTTTTCAAAAAATTGCTTGAATTTTCCCAGGTTCACATCAGATGAGGACTTGTTCATGTGTGCCAGAACTCAGTGATGGAAAAGTGGAACAACATGAGTAGCAGGGCACACCCAATACATTTTATTTTATTTTATTTTAATTTCTATGATTTCAGATGGCCAAGAAGGCCAATAGCATCCTGGCCTGTATCAGAAATAGTGTGGCCAGCAGGAGCAGGGAAGTGATAGTGCCCCTGTACTCGGCCCTGGTGAGGCCGCACCTCGAACACTGTGTTCAGTTTTGGGCCCCTCACGACAAGAAGGACGTCGAGGTGCTGGAGCGTGTCCAGAGAAGGGCAACGAGGCTGGTGAGGGGTCTGGAGAACAAGTGTGATGAGGAGCGGCTGAGGGAGCTGGGGTTGTTCAGCCCGGGGAAAAGGAGGCTGAGGGGAGACCTCATCGCTCTCTACAGCCACCTGACAGGAGGTTGTAGCGAGGGGGGGGTCGGTCTCTTCTCCCAAGTAACAAGTGACAGGACAAGAGGAAACGGCCTCAAGTTGTGCCAGGGGAGGTTTAGATTGGACGTGAGGAAAAATGTCTTTACTGAAAGAGTGGTTAAACCTTGGAACAGGCTTCCCAGGGAAGTGGTGGAGTCACCATCCCTGGAGGTATTTAAAACATGTGTAGACATGGCGCTTAGGGACACAGTTTAATGGTGGACTTGGCAGTGCTAGGTTAACGGTTGGACTTGATGACCGTAAAGGTCTTTTCCTACCTAAATGATTCTATGATTCTGTGAAATTCTCCTTAAATTTTTCCCTTACATTTCTGGAACTCATTTGCTCTCATCCTAAAATCAGTGCCTAAGATCAGAATAAGGAGATGGATTGGGTTGATCTCTGCTTAACCAGAATGAAGTCTTACAGGCGAATAGGCATCTAATATTTAGATAATTAAATTAAATGGAATGGATCACTGATCCAAATCAGAGATCCTAAGTTTGATCTTGGAATCTTCCTGAACCTCAAACTCAGAGGCAAACTAGATGGTGACTCTACTAAGAGTTTACTTAATGAGGACTTGGTTAAAAAGTGACTAAAGCCTTCAAGATTTGGCACTTAGAGAAAGCTTATTCTTAGAAGAATGAGTATGTGAACATAATATCATGTGGGTTTCCATATTTATTCTGTCTTTCTGGTTTTCAGATCAAATTTTCTCAGTTTGCAAGTCCAGAAGTAGCTTTCTTAGCAGTCAACAACACAAATTAAACTAAAGAAAAAATCTCCCCCTCTCCTCTCTCACTCTCTTTTTTATTCTTGGATTCTTTGAACTGTGCTTTGTAAATTCTTTAAAAAGGGTTCAGGTACTAAACAAGCATTTTGCTTTCCACCCAGGTGAGAGGTTGACTGAAGAGGAAGTTGATAAGCTAATGGCTGGTCAGGAAGATGCCAATGGCTGTATCAACTACGAAGGTAGGTATGACCACTCCGGTCTGAGCAGTGGTCGTGTGCTTGAAGGTTTTGTTGCAATTATCCTGAGAAAGTTCAAACCCATGGAAGATCTGACGCCCAAAGATCAGGATGTGTGGTTTTCCAAATTTTAGACCAGTTCAGGTTCTATAATTCACCCTATATACCCTATCTGTTGAAGCTTACTTGTATTTTCCGTAGCTGAATGGCCGTGGCCCTTTCAGGACGTGAGGCTGTATATTCTTATTTTGTTTGCCTTTAAAAAAAAACCAAATTGCATTATTTTTTCTACCTGTTCCCAGAGTTCCTTGTCCTCTCAAAAAGACATACACATCCCTTTTGAGACTTCTTTACAGAAAATGACCTTCAAAACCTCAGCAAAAACTGTTATCCTTACCATCCTCTTTGGTGTCCTAAGAATCCTACAAGACCTTCCAAAGACCTTCCATTTTATTTCACTGCTATTGTAGAAAGCCAGAATAAAAGGATTTGGTCATGAGTAAGTGGACCATGGTTCTCTCCTGCATCTTGCAAGCCTACATGCTTCAGGCTGTTCAATAAAACCACAATATTCTAATAAGGACCATGAACACATGTCATCGTACACAGCTGAGTCCTTCTTAAGGTTAACTGGTGACTGACGATTGTTCATCTTGGTGATTTAGCTGTCTGTCATATTCACTGAGCCTTTTATGAATATTTGGGTTGGTGGTCTCCTTCTACTTACAAATGTTATACCAGTGATTTGAGCTCAGGGAAACATTTCTTATGAGTATTTTATTGGTAGAAATCTGTAGATTTAGCCTACCCAAATGACTTATGAACTTATGCTGAATTCAGAGAAATTCATAGCAAGGGGGGAATATTGGGAAGGAAAAAATATTTCCTTACTGCAAAATGTATTTTTCCTTTTCCTTTTGAATTTCAAATTTATATATAATGAATGTCTTTTTAAATGAAGAAAAATGGAACCCAAACCTTTTTGAAACAAAAGCTTAATTTGACTTTGAAATACCTTTTTTGTTTGTAAACCTGAGTTCACTGGAGAGATATAGTCATGATACCTGACTTGGTGAGCTGCTGTGGATTCTGGTCGTTAACTCAAGGCATCTTCGGTGCCCCCTGACTTAGTACAAACGTGCTAAAGTCTTGAAAGCCTTGCAAGTTGAGGACCCAGAGTTTCTCATGGCTGTATATTTTGGAAAGCCAGTTCCATATGGCAGCCAGGGGTAAGGGATTAAGCAAGCTATGGATTGACTAATATAAGTGTTCATTTCCACTGGCTACCTGGGCTGCTGGCTACACTGCACTGTATGTATATTATCTCAAGGACTTACAAAGCATTTAGCACCTGGTATCTGGAGTCTTATTTACAAAGTGGTGGTTTTCCAAATTTTAGACCAGTTCAGGTTATTGCAATGAAGGTGGTCTTCATTGCATCAGAGGAAGCAAGAAGGGTGAATTTAAATAACAACCAAGCTGAGATACCCAGGACGCTACTGAGTTCAGTGAAAGGAAATTGATAAATGACCCTTATCTTTCTTTTGCTTCTAGCTTTTGTGAAACATATCATGGCTAACTGAACGCCAGGTGAGTCTCTTCTGTCCTCCTTGCATATCCTATTATTTTGGTTCTGGCAACTGAGATAGGCTTGAAGAATATGTAAGTAATTAATCAAAGAGAGTGAATATTTTCAGCTTACTGTATGAGGAAGTAGGACAAGAATGAGTAAAATGTTATCTTCATCCTACCAAGTGCACAGAAAATCAGTGACCTTTCTGCAGTTGTCTGGTAAATTTGGACACCTTTATTTTAGAAATCCAACATAATATATCTTAAAAGAATTTGGTTTCCAAAGAATCAGTGCTCATTCCTTTATGATTGACTGGAAACTTCAAAGGATGCATATTTTTCATGTCCACTTACAAGTCCCTGCTCCTAGACTTCTAAAAAGGCAAAGGGATAGAACTGAGCTGACTAGAGAAAGAGTGGGCAAAGAATATAAGGAAAAGTAGATAAGAAGGAGTAATGCATGCTTATGTCGCTGAACCTACACTAGGAGGATAATTATTTGCCTTCCGTAAATCTGGCTCCCAACATCTCCTGGCAAATGGGTTGGTTTTCCAGGAAAAGACGTGAGCTTTGTCCAGCACATCTTCTGGCTTTATTCAGTAGTGTTCTCCAAACCACAGTACCATTAAGGGTATCTCTGTCTCGCCATTGCAAATGAGCTGGATTTTATTTCCAGTATTTCCTGGTCATCGTTTATTTTTGTATTCCTGGAAAAAGTGCCCACTGTTTTCAACTGGCATTCACCATTATTTATCTCTGTTCAGCTCTTAGGGAAGGTCTGACCTGAGGGTTAACCAACTCCATCTATTCTGCAAAGTATCTGATAAACTGGGAAAAACAGTGGCTTCTTTCAGATTTGTTTTCGTTGTTTTGGGGTTTGTTTGGGTTTTGTTTTTTTGTTTGTTTGTTTGTTTTTTCTTCTGCTTTGGTTTATTTTTCTACTGTGTCCTGACCAGGCCTGGCTTTGTTTTGTTTTTGGAGCTGACATTATCCCAGCCCACCAAGACCTGTCTGTTGTATGGTGACTTTTGATTATGTTCACTGACACCCCAGGGAGGGAGTTAAGTAGGAGTCACATCCAGGTTTTTGGGACTTTCGTTCCAAAACATAATTGAACAAAATAGAAACTGTCTAAAAAAGATGACTGGGTTTCTTTTCTTATTATGGTCCAGTTTTCTTTCTTAAAGGTATTTATCTTCTCTGAACATACACTCAATTTTCCAACACTGGCTCCCAGTTTCCGATTCCAAAGATCTGGACTGGCCCACAGCCATAGTGGGTAATCCCATAGCTATCGTTATCCTTACTTGTTGTTTAGAGATGTTTTCAATACTTAATCCTATCCTAAACCCACTGCCATGGGAAATTCCCATGGGAAATTCCAATGCCAAAAGTCTTTCCAGTCACCTAAAGCGACATCAGCCACCGAAGAAGACAAGTGAGCAGTGGTAAGCTGTAAAGCTGCCACAGGGCTGGGAGCTGCAGCATAGGGGCCAGCAAGAGTGTCTTTGCTCATGATGGGTTTGGAAAGGGAGCTGAGAGCTCCTGACTCACAGAGAACCAATGTGCCACTGATGGGTGTCATTCAAGGGTGGCATCTTCCACTCCCTGCTGTGTTGCTGTTGACATGTTTAAGGAAAGACAAATGCAGTATTTACCCTTGAAGCGGTGATGGCCCTTTGCCATAGAGCACATAACAAACAAATCCCAAAACACTGGATTTGAACTCAATGGGAATCTGGATCTGAGTCAAAAAATAAAGTAGTGGGTCGTGTTTCTTGGCCATTCCCATATGCTGGAGGAAAGCTAGAGCTGGATCCCAATGTAAGAACTGAACTGTGTCTTTCCTTTTCTGTTTCTTTATTTTCTGAGCATAGTTGTTGTGACTGCTCTGTATTGACTTTTCTTATATACAGACTCTCCACTGGCTTGTCCCCAGGTGCTACGTACTATTTATAACACAGAGTAACCAATTACCTCTTCAATTAGTGACTCTTCCACTGTTTTTTTCAGCCCCCCCCAGGTCAAGTGTTCTGCAGGATTATAGCCAACTAGTCTTCCTTCACAGTAGACATTGCTGTAGAAAACAGTCCCAGATTGGCTACACATCCACTCCTTACACTATTCAGTGGGAAAGACATGGGCAGCAGGACACATTAAGCTTTCTGACATAGCTAGAAAGCACTATACCCTACTTGTGGTCCAATGACGACTGCAGTGTGGAGCAGGGCTGTGGGATATGTGCAGCGGACTACGTGGACCCCCTGAGAAGGCAATGCACACAGCTGTCTCCCTGCCATGTGACTGAATGTGTGATGAGCAGAGTCAACCTTATCTCATGGCCTAGCTCTTGGGTGCATATCCATTCGTGGGGGCTAATCAAACAGCCCAAAATGCTGGGAAAGAACATCTTTGGGAGCAAGTTGGATGTTGTCAGAATTGTTCAGATACCTACTTCTTTAGCATAAATCTTGTGTTACAAAACCACCCTGTTTAAATGTATAAGCTCAAGTAGTAGAGCAGTACAGCTGGAGGGACAGTCCATAGTGTGTACACAGAGGCTCAATTCGGTGTCCCACATGTAGGCTCATGGTGTTGTTTGAGATGCTCCAAGTGTTTCATATATCCATGGCCTCACAGGTGGGATGCAGAGCCCATGGCAGACTAGTGCTTTCTGGCAGTTGGCAGCCAGGCAGGGTACTTTAGGACTTCTCAAGTGGCTCTAGGTGCTGAGGTGTGGGGAAGTGAATTGAGCCCTGTGGCTTGAACTCATGTGACTGTAGGTGAAATCCTAGAATATGTCATCAGTATTTGACCGGCTGACATAGTCTTCCTCGGCTCCCATCAGATTAAGATGCCTACAAGTAAGGGTCTACAGGAAAGCAGGGTATTTCTGTTTCCAGACCTAAAGGAGGTCCAGTTAGATGGAGCATGCAGAGTGATTCATCTCATCTGAAGAAGGGCCATAGATGCAGTGAGTCCAGCTGCCAATGTTGAGAGGGACAAATCTCCCACGAACACTATGTCATATTTGCCATCTGTATGGGAATGTTCTGAATGCCTTGGGTCTCTCAAATCGCATCAGAAGCTTATGGTTCAGGAACAGAATCCTGCCTGAAATCTAGATGTTAGCTAAGAGAAATCCCTGTGCTCACATGTTGCTGATGGGAGACTGACTACAGGTAATAGAGGGATAACAGAAGTACGAGAAACTGTCTAGTGGTTCAGGAACTGGGCCGTTTTTCTGGAAAGTTGAGTCTTTACCCTAGCTTCACGTCTGACATGGCTATATTGCCTCTCCATATCATGGCTTCCCATGTTTTGTCCATCATTTACATGTTGAGTGTAAGGTTGCGGGGGTTGGGACTGACTAAGGATATTTTGTCCTGTTGTGCGATTGCTCTCTGATGTCAGTCGGCATCTCTGTGGTGCAGAGACACTCAGCTGCAGACCTTACTGCCAATAAGCTGAGTACAGATGCATGAGGATGACTGAGGCTGATTCCTGGTGGCATTGTTTGTTTCTTCTTTCTTCCTCTAATGCTTAAAAATAACTTTTTTTTTAGGACAAGATAGGCGCCGAGAACCCCAGATGCTGGCCTTGGATTTCAATGTAATGGAATGTCTTCTCATTTTTCAGCCCAGATTCCCATTACGGAGCTACAAAATGTGCTGTCCCTAAAGTTATTTGTATAAATGTTTTTTGTTTGTTTTGTCTTGTTTCTTCATGGGAAGAGGGTGGCCTCTGTGGAGATTCAATACACTCAGGAAACGGAAGAAACTGGAATCTGAACTATGAATACCTGGGCATTGTAACTTTTTTTCTGATACAGAATATAAATAGCAATACAAAATTGTTAAGGGAGAGGGGAGAGAAGGGGAGTAATTTTTTTCATGACTAAATCAATCAAAAAATGTATTTGTCATTTAGCCATACCCTTCCCTCCCCTCCCCTCTTCCTTCCAAAACAACTGGACTGTTCTCTTCGTGTTTATTGCGTTTGTAAAAAAATAGCTGTAAGAGAATAAGGGAGAAAAGAAACTAAACCAGTTGTATAAATCTCATGTATGCAAGGAATACTCTTAATCTTTAAGGAAAAGTAGTAAAAGTAGAATGCCCAGCAATCAGCATGGCATTTGTTGAACGTTGTTCGCATGTTTCTCAGCTTTGGAAGATACTACTTTTAACATGTAAGATGTAAAAGAAAAAACCAAAGCAAACCAGAAGTGTATACAATGTTTGCTAAAATACATCCCTTCTCCACAAGGATTACTTCCCATTCCAACAGTCTGACCTATGAAACAAGTAAAATGTCTTTCCCAGTGCAAACTGGAAATTGTTCTTATATACATATCTTGGTTCTGTAGCTTTTCGCAGTAAAACTTGGGATTCTTTGTCACCTGGTTTCATCATTTCTGTGTCTGTGTGAGGGAAGGGGAAATGGGAAATAAATGCTGTTGGGAAAAACCTCAGTAGAGGCAAAGGAAAGCTGAGAAGCGTGAAAAAGCACACGGATTAAGTTGGTTCATTTACTGGGGAATAATAATTTTAAAAGTAAAAAAAAAAACCAAACCCTTTGGTGGTGGAAAAAGGAGAAGCTAGAGGCTGGTACAGTTTGTTAGGAAATAGCAAAAAATCTAATTATGCAACACTCCATTTATGCAAGAGGTACTGTTAAAACAGACAACTTTGAAAATTAGTGGAGAGAAGATAATCAGTGGAACATTGTAATACCAGGATACGATCTGCATAGCAATGACCGAACAGGTCATCCCTGCAGAGAAGAATTGCTATGAACAAGAGAACACAAACAATCAAATTACATGAATATACGCGCTGTAACAAAATGTGCCATTGAATGGCCATAATAGAAAAGCAGCAGTTAGAGAGCTAAATGTAGTATCAGGCTGATGGCAATAACAATAAAATGCCAAAGGAAATTCAAAAGGCTAGTGCAGAGGGAGGAGTAGAAAGATGTTAATAATGACAGGAATGTCTTATATCCAGCCTGGGCTAACTGTACACAAAAGTGCAAGTAAGAGGCAAAAAAAAATTGTCACCATAAATCACTAGTTCTGAAGAAACTACCTCTGAAACATCAGTCCTGAACAGAGCCGGGCATTGAACAGGCCACTGATAATGCCATGAAATTAGCAACTAGGTCTGCTCTAGTGTGGCAGAGATGGACACCAGACACAGTCACCACCAGTGCTCCATCTCCTCCTCGGGGCTCCCTTTGTGGGCATCCACTTTCATTCTCAGCGTCGGCTCCTGTGATTTCCTAGGGCCTAGTTTGTCTTGGGGCAAACACCATTTCATAGGCACCTTGCCTTCACTGTCTTGTAAATACATATTTGGACCCTGAAGATAGCTTAACACTGTTTCGAATCAAAGCTGTGCAGTAGTTGCAAAATGCAGTTCTTTATCCCTTTCCTGCTGGTGCAATGAATCCCTTGGGAATGTCTCCTGTCTTCTGCGATACTCTTACAAGGGTATCTCTACTTTAAAGACCCCTTGAGCTCTAGGACTCATGCAGCTGAGGAGCACTGTGAGGGCTCAGTACAGAAACACTCTGCTAGCAGGTACCATCTGACTACCTCCTCTTTGTCCTCCATCCCCTGTTGTTCTGACACCAAAAGTCATCTCTAAATTGGGCTATTGCCATCACACGAGTCCTACATAGCCTAGTCTAGGACCAAACCTGTCAAAATTTCCATCGAAATCAAAGCATGGTTGTTTGTTCTGACTTCTTTTCAGAGAGATTTAGTCACCGCATCAGGTGCAGCTTAGGTGGAGGAGAAATCCTAATCTCTCCAGTGGGCCATCAGCTGCTTTCTTCCTCAACTGCTAAACACAAAGCCACCCCCCTGCAGCTACTCAGCCTCCCAGTAAGGGGTCACCTTGAGGTATTATATCTAAATCTTGCAGCATATTTCACTGTACTTTCCCCAAACAACATCTGTCCTCATCCACAGATGCACGTGAGCCTTTCATATGGGCATATGGGTGGCATTCACCCATCTAAGTGCAGATATCTGTAGAGTTGGTGTCTCCATCTGTCCTAGGCTTCAATGCTTATCTTATTGGCACAGATGGTATCGGTACCATGAGGATTACACATTATTACTGTTTTTGTTACTGTTTTTGTTGTTGCTGTTACTAAATTCACAGCTGAAACACCCTCATCACATGAATCCAGCAGCTGGGACTTACATGAGGCTCAAGCTATTTCAGGAAAACTTGAAGGGCTGGTAGTGCTGCAAGTGAGCACGCAAGTCCTTTGATGGAGCAACATGAGAGGCAAAGACCAACAGGCCAAGCACAACCACCTGAGTCGATGCGCACCAGCCAAGAGTGCAAGGCAAGAGGACTGCCCAAGTGCAGCACACGGGGCAAGGTGGGCTCACCAGTGGCCCACTGAAGCAGAACAGGATAAAATACAGCTGGTGTTTCACCCCAAGTGCATTGGCAGGGCTCTTTGAGGAAGGATCCGCAGGCCAGTCCAAGGTGCATGAGCAAAGCTGTGTGTGGGAGAAGGCTGGAATTGTGCCTATTGCCTTCCGTGTCTCAGGACGTGCTATTGCTGAATTTTGTTTTCATGGTCTCAAGATTCACTCACAAGCAAACCGGAACAAATAAGCAATATCTCCCCCTTCCCTTCCCCTCCTCCTCTCCCTTACCCCTAACCCCAAATTAAAAAAAAATAACCTCCCATCTAGAGAATGTTTCTTTAAAGAAAAAGTGGGCAGGAGACATGCCAAGTTTCTAGAAGATCTTTTTATAGCAGTAGCATCTGGCTCTTTGGGAGACTCCGTTGGTGTCTTTACATCTGCTGTGGTTAAGCTGCTAATGGACTGGCTGTCTGGGCTGCTGCCTGCTCCGCTGATTTCTTAGTACCATGCTTTGGTTATTTGAGGAGTTTGAGACTATTGACTTCTTGCCAGAATTACATAGTACATTCCAGCAGTAACTTGCATTGCGACACCCAGTCGTACAGAAGGGGTTTCAGATGGAGCAAGGATATTGGCTGGCATTTCATTACCCTCTCCTTAAACCCACCCAAGCCTGGATTAGAGCAGGGAGTGAAGCGTGGATTTTTTTGATCCAGAAGCCAAAAGGAAAGTGAATATGATAATATTTTTTCAGTGATGTCCACAAGCAAATAAACAAGTAAATACATCAATACTTTAATCTGGAGGTCAATTAAAAATACTTTCCCCCCTAGTGATATGTTCCAGCTGATTTTTTTACTTATTCATCACTCTAAAAGCTATTTTTTAACCTCAAGTAATTAATTACTGCTTTGGAGTGAAAAATCAAAATGCATCCATCTGCATCATTTTGAAACAAAACATTTTTACATTTTCAACATTTTCCTCTATGACCAGAATTTTTTTTTTTTCAACAAAACCTGCTGTCAAAATTACACCTGATTTTAAGCATGAATTTCCTCTATGCCATTCCCTACAGAACCTGCAGTTTTCCCCAGAACTGGTTTCAGGATTAATTTTTCTCAGCTGACCCATTTGGTTTTTTGCAGCTTTTGCTCCTATGATGAGATTAATTGGCCCTTAGAAACACTGTTTTTTCCCTCCACTGGGAATAAATTGACCCTAAACAACTGCTTCAGGAATAGGCTTTTTGAACTTAATTCAGTGGCCTAAACAGTGATATGTCATGTCATTTGCAATGCTCTAGGCTATTGCCCCATTTTGCTCAGAAATATGCATAACTTCTGCAAGTCCTATTTTGAGTTTTTATGGGTGAGATTCATCCTATTCAACTCGTAAGCTTGACTGATTTGCTCACAGACAGAGACTGTCGCTTCATAGACCGTCCCTGCATACTACTTCACCCCCTCCTTGTCCCACCAAGATAAAGCCCCCTCCAAGGTAAAATAGGTTTCTTTATCTGATTGTAGCAGCAGTGTTTTTGGAGGACTAATGATGTGAAGATATCTCTGAATTCATGTTTACTGGTAGAATAAATATCTGATTTACTATTAAATACCAATCTTAAATACATATATGAGTGTTTATGCAGAGATGTAACCACACTGCACAATGTAGACAATGTGAGCTATGAATTCACCAATTGCCTTGTGATACGACGTGGTTATTTCTTCCTAGTTTTATTTAACACAGAAAATCATTTGGATTCCTTAAAGTTTCTTATGTAGCCTGCGTCCATCTATCCTTCTTCTCCCATTTATCTGGTGAAGTTGTTGAAATATGTCAAAAGCCCAGCAGAACAGCAAAATTAATGTTTTCATTTATAAATCCAAAAGTGCCTGTGTTTCTGAATTAGCTGTTCTGTGAATTCCTTCACTATCCTGTAATAAAAGTGCCATGGGAGAGTTATGATGCATGCCAAAGATAAAAGACAGGAGAAATGAAGGAAAAAAAATATATGCATGTAGGTAGACCTATACTGAATTGGAGCAACTGTGTGTCATTTGGGACAGCACTGACATTTGAAGCTGTGCTTCTGTTCCCACCAGGAAGAATCAATGGGTGCATAGGAGTAAGCACATAAACGCATAGATAACACGGATTCACAGAGAGTCTCTCAAGATGTGGTTTGACATTTCTAGAATGAAGTTTCTAGTTTGATGATACTAGACTTTTGGGAGCCTAGTAACAGATTTTAAAAAAAAACCCAACACCCAACCCCAAACCCCATGGTTGTGCAACACAAAGTACTCCTCCAGTGTAAACTCACTGTGTGTCTTCAAACCTGTTCAAAGCTTCTGAAGAACTTCACTTGGTTTAGGTAGACTTACGGGACATCACCTTTGTCTACCACTCTAACTTCATGCTGGCTTGCCAGAAATAAAACTTCAGTAGTATCTTTCTGTAGCTTCTGTAAAGCAGGTATAAGAGTAGAAACTCAGCACACACTCTGTATCATGCACACCAGCCAGTGACAGTATCATGGTTGCACAGTCAGGGTTGGTCTGGATGAATATCTTCCACTAGATCAAGTTGCTCAGAGCCCCGTCCAACCTGACCTGGAATGATTCCAGGGATGGGGCATCCACCACCTCTCTGGGCAACCTGGGCCAGTGTCTCACCACCCTCAGCGTAAAAAAATCTCTGGACCAAACTGTGTCTTAACGGTGGCAGATCAGACATCGCTGGAGCACCAGGCAGGAGCAAAAAAGATTCCCATTGTAGAAAAAGTGAAAAAGATGTGCTGTAGGGCCAGAAGAAGAGGGCATAAGCCTGTCATGCAGTGCTTTTCTGAGTGAAGGAAACAAAACAGTCTTGGGGATTCCTGTCCTGATCTAGGCAGACATA